CTCTTTTAGAGCATATTAATAAATCGTCTACAAAAATTAATATATAAATTGGTTCATTTTTATCTTTCATACAATACAAACAGTAGTCATTTTTACTACGTTTAAATCCTAATTTGTTCAGATATGTATCTAGACATTCATACCATGCTCCAGGACTTTCTCTTAGACCATAAAAGGCTTTTTGCAACTTCCATACCCTATTTGTTCCATCATCATAGCCTTCTGGTTGTTTTACATAAACTTTTGTTTTTAAATAACCATTTAGAAACGCAGATTCAACATCCATTTGATTTATCTTAAACTTATTTTGTAAACAGTAATTTAACAATATTTTTAATGTTTCTGTTTTGGCTACAGGAGAATATATATTCTCAATTATTTCTCTTTGTTCAAATCCTCTAACCACTAGTCTAGCCTTATATCTATTATCACTTTTCTTCGTGTAAACCCATTTTACATTTATAATTTTTTCGTTTTTTGGTGCATTTATAAGTTCATATGTGTTATTTTTCTTTATACAATCTATTTCTCTATTCATCGCCTCCTGCCAATTTATACTTTCTTTACTATTTATAGCTTCATTATAATTTGTAGGTGTATCGGCGCTTGTGTAATTTACATAAATAGTTGCGTTATAATTTTCTGGTTTGTATCTATCTGGTTCTTTTCTTACTCTATTCGATTTTCTCCTCGTTGGAGTTTTCTTTTCTTTGATTTCTTTTGTATTTACTTTTTCACATTTATCATTATCATCTTCAAATACAGAATCATAATCGCTATTAGTATCATTATCATTATTTTCGTTTTTAATACTTTCAATATCAGATTCATCGCTCTCACTTAAACCTATTAACTTTGTATTTTCCTTAATTATATCCACATGTCTAGCAACTATTACTTTACCATTTATTAGAACTCTATAACCTACTACTGTGGGCAAAAAGTAAGGTGAATTTTCAATTTAAACTTCGCGGGCTTAACATTTCGGGCTAGTTCTTTTTTTCTTGAGTTGGTAGGACTGCGAATGACATCTGGGACAAATTTCATGTCAATGTCATTATCAGTAATATATGTACGCTTGTGTTTACCAAACGACCAAGAGTGCATATTTCGATTTTTACAATGTCTGATTTAATTGAGCAAAGAAGTGCCATCAAATTTTGTTTGCGGAATGAAATTTCGGCTGCGGAAACGTTGAGGATGTTGCGGAAGGCCTTTGGTGATTCTACCATGTCGCAGAAAAATGTTTATAAGTGGTACAAAGACTTCAAAGAGGGTCGAGAACGTGTTGATGACTTGGAGCGCTCCGGACGACCATCGACGTCAACAGATGACCAACACGTCAATAAAGTGAAGGAATTAGTGCTCGAAAATCGTCGGTTGACTGTTAGAGACCTTACTGATATGATCGGAATATCAGAAGGATCTGTGAAAACAATTTTGAAAGACCATTTGGGCCTACGAAAAGTCAAATCTCGTTTGGTACCGAAAACGCTCAATTTCTTGCAAAAAATTCGCCAAAAATTCGACACATATCGTTCCGCAACCACTGTATTCGCCTGATTTGGCTCCGTGTGACTTCTGGCTATTCCCAAAACTCAAGAGACCACTCCGGGGAACGCGTTTCGAGTCGATTGAGGAGATAAGAGCTGAATCGAAGAAGGCGCTGATGGCTATACCGGAAAGGGACTATTTGGCATGTTTCGAGGATTGGAAAAAACGTTGGCATAAGTGTATTTTATCGGGAGGGGATTACTTCGAAGGGGATGACATTGATGTAGAAGAATAAATAAAGATTTTTCATTTTACAAACAAATTCACCTTACTTTTTGCCCACAGTAGTACATTTTCATACCCTATTAGGATACCTGATTCCGCTTTCTTATCCTATTTTGTATTTCTTTTGACTTCAGGAATTCTAACAAATATTTTACTTCCGTACAGTTGTAAATTTTTTATATTAGGTTTTTCTTTTAATAAAATTTCGTATGGAGTCTTTTTCTCTATTGTATTGGCCAGAGTTCTATTTTTTAAATAGGCCGCTGCCTTTACTACCTCAGGCCAATATTTTTTGTCTAACTTGGCATCTGCTAATAAGCATCTTGACATGTCCATTATTATTCTAATGTACCTTTCCGCAGTTCCATTCAACTCATGCACGTATGGTGGACAAGTATCAATTATAAAGCCTCTTGCATTGGCAAGATTCTTAACATCTCTATTAACAAATTCTAAGCCATTGTCGCATCTTAATTTTTTAATTCTTTTTCCAGTTAAATTTTCAAATAGATTCATATATGCAACTATGTTCTTAAATGTTTCATCTTTTGACTTCATAGTATAAATTTTTACAAACTTGCTATAGTCATCTTCTAATATTAAGAAATATTTTTCTCCATTAAATCCATCTCTATGTGGACCACTTAAATCTGCGTGAACTATCTCTAATAAATCTTTGGCTCTATTTCTATTATCATTAAACTTCAAATTATGCATTTTATTTTCTATGCATGTCCTACATTTCAAATATTCATTTTCAAAGTTACTTGGTAAACCTTCTAATAAATTATTTTTACTCAAAATATCTAAATATTTAAAATTAACATGTCCCAACATTTTATGATACTTTTCTTTTACAGTCATATTACATTCAATATTGATATGTTCTTTAATGACTTTACTATATAATTTATACATATCATTTACCTTATTTGCAATTGCTACTAATATATTTGAACTGTTATATATTTTTGCAATATTATTTTCAAATAATACCTTATTATTATTTGTAATTTTTCCTACACTTAACAAATTTTCGTTCATATGTTTCACATAATATACATTATTTACTGTTACCTTATAATTTTTATTGTTTGTTTTGACACTGAGAGTTACGATGCCTACTTTGCTTGCCTTGAGCTTTCTTCCGTCGCCTACTTTAACATTGATTGGGTTTTCTAAATTTTCAAAACTGGAAAAATAATTTGAATTATTTATAATATGATCAGTGCAACCGCTATCAAAAATCCATTCTATCTCACCAATGTTTACATTCTTTTCGCATTTTTCTACATTATAGTTTTCTGATTTTACCTTTACATTCGCTTTGGCATAAAATGTTTCACTGGTGTATTCGCTTTGTCCTTCATTGTTGCTATAGTTCGCTCCAATGTTATTTTCTTGACTTTGTTGATTCCAATTACTCTGGAAATTTCCTCTACCTCTGTTTCCTCTGCCTCGACCTCTGTAGTTGTTATAGTTGGACTGATTTTGGAAATTTCCATAGCCGCCTCCTTGCTGTTGCCAACCTCTTCCTCTATTATTATTTGAATAGCCTCTGCCTCTATTTGTATTTGAATTGCCTCTAGCTTGACCTTGGTTCCAATACTGACTTTGGATATGTCCTGGCTTACCACATTTGAAGCATGTTCTGTTATTATTATTATTCACTTTTTCAGTTTTAAAAGCATTTGAATTTGATGATCTTTTTTTTTCTTTATCTTGTTCTTCATTTTCTTGGCGCTTATGTAATATAATTTTATTTTTAACATATTCTACTGTTTGATCTTCTTCTTTTAAACCATCTAGTAAATTTCCAATATAACTGAGTGATACTGGCAATGCTTTCAACAAATAATTTACTTCTTCAGTTTCGGTTACTGTTGCTCCAGCACCTTTTAATTCTATAAACAATTTTTCAAATTGTGAGAAAAATTCATTTATATCTTTAAACTCACTTAGTCTCAAAAAATCTAATTTTCTTCTTATGCATATCTGTAGTTGTTTTTCCTCGAATTCGAATCTAAACCTGCAAAAGAGAAAGTTCTCTCCGAAAATCCCTTTTGGTCACGTTCTGCTCAACTATAATAGAATATTTTTTATCGTGTTCAATTTATCTCCGTAGTTTAGAGATTCGGGATTTTAAGCCAAAACATCTGTGCAGCGCATGTCGCTCACTCTTTTCTGCGACTTTCTACGATTATGCGTTTATGATGAACACGCCGAGTTCGTGCTCCGATCATTTATGGCACCTACTATAAAAGGGTCTTCCGGCCTTCCTCACTATTTTTTGCACTCAACTGACCCACGCGGACACTCTAAAAATTGTAACCGCCTACTCACCCTTCCTTATCCTGTTTAGCCAATGAAAATTAGTTTTTCCGAATTTTGTAAACTCCCAGCGAGCCTTCGCGTATCTGCTGCGAAAGACGCGAACCTTCGACGAGTCTGCTGCGACAAACAAAAATCAGATTCTCACCAAGCGTTAAGAAAGCAACAGCTCACCATTGCTGTGCTTTCTCGTTATACTTATATTTATTTTCATAGTCACTTGTACCTTGGTTCACATTAAATTTACTTCCCTTTTTTATTAAATAGAGTTTTAGTTAAAATTCAAATATTGACTTCTCTATTTATCATCCTCTATCTCGCCCGTTCGTCGTTAATATCTACGTACGGCGCGCGGAATAAAAGAATATTAATTTCACTGAAAATATTTCCGCGCAAGTCTCAACATGGTCCTTCGAGCCGGATCGTAAATTTATTAACCAGTGAACAAAAACAATCAAAATTCAAGTGTCAAGTGCTGTGAAATATCAACGACTTCTACATATAGTCGCAAGCATACATGTCGTTACTAAGTGTCAATTAGTCGACAAATATTCAAATCAAGATTATTGCAATCTACATCGACACGAAGCCGTTACTTGGACAAGAAAGCAGCCGGGTGAAACAGTGTCGTCATAAAACAATATATACAGCCGCACGGACGTCCCGCAGTAGGAAAGCAGCCGTCGGCCTAAGCATTTACGCAGCCCCGTGGACGTCTCCTATAGAATCCAGCCACTGGTGGACTCATCGTGGACACATTAGTAGAGGAGCATCAACAATCATAAAATCTACAAAACAAGTAAGCAAGAGAATCTCCTCCTCTCTAATCATTCCCACTCTTTATTCCTTATTTTTGATTTTATCTCAACGCGGTTAAATCAAATATCAAAATGAGCGCTGAAAAGCTCAAAACTCTCAAACATTCTCGCGGTTTAATTAAAGCAAGCCTTACGCGTTTATTAAAGTTCTTTGATCAAAATCCTGACGCTGATGCATTCGAGTGTGAGAACCGTCAAATAAAATTAGAAGAGATTTTCCAAAATTTTGATAAGATTCAGTTTGAAATCGAGCTCGCGTTTGTAGCTGAAAAGGCTGATGATGATGATCAGCCTGCTATTCAAGATGATGAAAGAACGGAATTCGAAACAAATTATTACAGTTGCGCTAAAGTGATAAGAAAGAGACTGCATGATATCGGGGCTGGTTCCGCGTCGGTTAATTCTAATTCAGTGCGAGCACCTAGCGTCGCGAGATCAGATGCTTCTACCCCTCAAAATATCACTTATTACGTTAATCACGGCTTAGAAAAATTAGAAGTTCGCCCTTACGATGGTGACCCGCGGGAATGGCAAAGCTTTCGCGACTCTTTTATAAATTTAGTGCACAATAATGAATCAATGCCAGCAACTGAAAAGTATTATAGGCTGAAACAAGCCCTTCGTGGGGACCTGATTGATATCCTTCATGGTCTAGATGCTTCTGAAGAAAATTATAAGGTTGCGTGGGATTTAATTACTGAACGGTGCCACAAACCGCGTAAAATCATACAAACTCATTTGAAAAAATTGCTTAATTTGCCGGCAATGAATAAAAGTTCGGCACAAAAAATTCGTTCGCTTAAAGAAAAATCGCTAATGCATGTCAATGCTCTAAAGGCCTTGAAAGAGCCTGTAGATTCTTGGGATTCAATTTTAGTATACCTTGTTAGCAGCAAACTTGATCGATTCACGCGTAAATCATGGGAAGAAACTTTGAAAGATAGTGTAAAGCCTAAATTCACTGAACTCGTTGCCTTTTTAAAGAAAAAAGAGCGCGGAGACGATGACTATGATTCTTCCGAAAAGCAGTCGATTCCTGCTGAAAATACTAACAAAAAAGGTAGAAACGTGCCACAAGCGTTAGTTGGCACACAAAAAGCTGATTTTTGTAATTTTTGCAAACAAGAACACAAAATTTATGCGTGTCCTCAATTATTAGAGCTCAATCCGCGTGAGAGAGCAAATGCCTTGCGCGGGAAAAAATTATGCTTAAATTGTTTCCGTGACAATCATTCAACAAAACATTGCAGGGCTTCAGGTTGTAGGACTTGCTCGAAGAAGCACAATACATTAATACACTTTACTCAATTCAATGAAAATCAATCAGAGCCTATTCAAACAGCTCAAAATACCGATATGAAGCCTCAAGTAGGTCTCACGGTTACTCACGATTCTGAAATTTTATTAGGAACTGCTAAAGTAAACATTCTTGATAAAGACAAAAAGCCCTATCCTTGCAGAATATTGCTTGATGGAGGCTCTCAATCAAATTTTATTTCTGAAAAGTTAACTTCAAAACTCAAGCTCGATCAAGAAAAAATTGATCTGCCTTTCGGCGGTTTGGGTCAGATCGTTACTCGCGCTAATTATAGAGTCAAGACAAAGATTCAGTCTCGAATCAATGCATTTGAGCATGAATTAGATTTGGTAGCACTACCGACGATTACTACTTTTTTGCCTTCTCGGTTTGTAGACAAAAGCTCTCTAAAAATTCCGTCGGGTATTACTCTCGCGGATCCGGAATTCAATAAATCAGCTGAAATCGATATATTACTTGGCTCTACATTATTTTACAAACTTTTGAGTACCGGTCAAATTGTCATACAAGAGCATCCTGACGTTACCTTACAAAAAACTTTATTGGGTTGGATAATAGCGGGCGAAGTCGCGGTGAAACAATCTGTACAGAGACCGAAATTATGCCACTTAGTGACTCTTGATGAAAAATTAACTCGTTATTTCGAAATGGACACAATTCCATCGAAAAAACATTTATCTCTTGATGAACAAAAATGTGAGAAATTCTATTCAGACACCACTACTCGTAATTCCGACGGAGAATACGAAGTGCGTCTATTTTTTAACGAGAATAAAGCAAAATTAGGCGATTCTTATAATCGTGCACTCAGTCGAGCTTACGGACAAGAGCGTAAACTATCAAAAAATCCCGGTTTGAAACAGGCTTATACGGGAGAATTAATCAAATACCGTGATCTTGGACACTTAGAAGAAATTACAGATACAAATAAATGCGATGAAGGATATTTTATTCCTCATCTTGATGTAATTAAAAATAATCAGCTAGATCGAATCGTATATGACGCGTCGTCAAAAACTTCAACAAACATTTCACTCAATGATGCCTTAGTAGTTGGTCCGACTATACAAGACGATTTAATGTCTTTAGTCATGCGATTTAGAACGCACACGGTTGTGCTTGCAGGCGATATTCAAAAAATGTTTCGATGCATTAAAATCCACAAAGATGATTTGATTTTTCAAAAAATTTTATGGCGAAATGATTTTTCAGAATTGATGCGCGTTTTTGCCTTGACTACAGTAACTCAAGGCACTGCGAGTGCTCCTTATTTAGCTGCTAGGACACTTCATCAATTAGCAATTGATGAAGGGGGCAGGTACCCGCAAGCTGCAGAGGTTTTAAAAAACGATTTTTATATGGATGATTTATTGACAGGTACGGATACACTCGAAGCAGCCTTAGAGCTCAAACAACAATTGACAGATTTATTAAAACTTGCAGGATTTAAACTCCATAAATGGGCATCGAATGAGCCAAGCTTAGCAAGTCAATCGGGTGTAAAAAGCGATAACGATACTTTATTAGACGATCAGCTTAAAAAATTATTGGGTATTCGTTGGAACCCAAAAACTGACTCGATTAAATATTTAATCAAACCATCTCTAGTTGAAAATAGCATAACTAAACGTGCTATTTTATCAGAAATTGCAGAGTTATTTGACCCACTAGGCATTTTAGGCCCAGTCAATGTAGTTGCAAAATTAATTATGCAAGAATTATGGAAACTTAAATTGGGATGGGATGAAACAATTCCCCAAGACTTAGGCACCATGTGGATTAATTTTAAAGATGAATTAAAATTTGTTGAACACTTCACTCTTCCTAGAAAAATAGTCTTGTCAAATGCAGTAAATTTGCAACTACATGGCTTTGCCGATGCCAGTCAACGAGCTTACGGTGCTTCGGTTTACTTGAGGTCGGTAGATAAAGATAATAACTGCTCTGTTCAATTAATATGTGCTAAATCTCGGATCGCGCCGATTAAAACTACCACTATTCCAAGGCTAGAGTTGTGTGCTGCTCTACTACTTTCTGAGTTAATTCAAAAAGTAATAGAGGCACTAAAATTGAAATATGATAATGTTTATTTGTGGTTTGATTCTACCATAACTTTACATTGGCTTAAAACGTCACCGAATTCACTTAAAACATTTGTTGCAAATCGAGTAGTTGAAATTCAAACGCTGACCGAAAGTTTTACTTGGCAACATATTGCCACGGAAGAAAATCCCGCGGATTTCATTTCTCGCGGTCAGACTGCTTCCGAATTCATCAAAAATAAGCTTTGGCTCCATGGCCCCTCTTGGCTTTTAGAAAATGAGCAAAATTGGAAAACCTTGAAACTGTCTAAAGTTGAAATTCCAGAGCAAAGAGTCAATGTGGGTTTAGCCGCTACTATAGTTAATTCAAAACAATTAAAAAATGACACTCTGGAACGTTTTTCATCATTAGATAGCTTAATTCGTTTTGTTTCACTATGCCATCGGGCAGTTGTCAATCGGAAATTGACTACAAAAATTACTGGTAATTTTACTACTGATGAATTACAAAATGCACACACTCATCTTATTAAAATTATCCAACTTAGCCATTATCCACGAGAGATAAAAAATTTGCAAGAAGGTGTAGATATTAATCCGAAAAGCACAATTTACAATTTGAGTACGTTTTTAGATGACCACGGAATTATTCGTGTAGAGGAAAAACAGTAGTCCTACTGATTTCTTTAAATATGTATTATCTAATTTTTTAATTATATTATAGGCAGTTTCCTCTTCATTTACCAACTCAAACTAAGTTTCTGATAACGCAGCACAGATATAGTTCATTGCTTTTAAATCCTTTTCTTGACAAACTGCCTCTTGCATATTTGTATCTCTTGTAGCACTTGATACTACTTCTACACACTTTTTAAATCTTAAAAATAATACAAGTCTTTTCTTCCACATGTTATAATTCTTGCCATCGAATATCGGCAAAATACTTTTCATCTCGTCTGCCATGTTGTCTTCTATTTCTATTTTATTTTCTCTATTTAATAGTCTGCCTTCTTGTTATACTTGAGATTCTTTTGTCTCAAGCCACGTGTTTAACTCCTTTTAATCTTTGAATATCTTATTAATCACTTATTCAAATTTAATAACTAATACTTTTCCTTTAATATTTTTCTTTCCTTAATTCATTTATCACTATATTTTCTTGAACACTTTACAAGTTTTCTACATGCCCTCGCGAGGACACACAGAGAAACAGAAAAATCGACCGACTTACTAACCAACCAATTAAATAAATAACTAACTGACGAACCACGCTCTGCTACCATGATAAGAAAAAAGGATTAAATAAATGCGTGGACAAGTGATAATTACTTTTCTTTTATATTTTCTTTTAACCTTAAAAGATAATATACATGTGCATATCGCACTCTGCTTGAGACGCTCTTTACTCTACATGAGCCTTTGGGCAACTAACTATGCTTTCATGAGAGTTGTTCTTAGATATCTACTCAATACTCATCGATACACACTCACATACTCATACCAGTTGCGCATGCTCATTTTACGTACATCCTCTGTATACTAAGTATTCTATATTTAAGATTTACCTATTCTCAACAATAATGGATAATTGGCATACATGAGACTGTAGCCTTTCTAAGGAAGATTACGGCTTTATTTAAAGTATATGAGATCAATCTACCACTCCGTTTTAGCTCTACTCGTTTGCCAAGTAATCGTAGACCGGATTTTCACGCCACACACATCTTTCGTCGAATTCTGGGTTATAATGGATAACTGGCATACATGAGAGTGTAGACTTTCTAAGGAATATTACGGCTTCATTTAAAATATATCAGATTCATCTACCCTATCGTCTTAGCTCAACTCGTGTGCCAAGTAATCGTAGCCTGGGTAACCAGGACACATGCGTCTTTCGTCTAATTCTGGATTATAATGGATAATTGGCGTAAATGAGAATGTAGACTTTCTAAGGAATATTACGGCTTTATTTAAAATATATGAGATTCATCTACCACTACGTTTTAGCTCGACTCGCTTGCCAAGTAATCCTAGAGCGGATTTTCACGCGACACGCATCTTTCGTCGAATTCTGGGTTATATTGGATAATTGGCATACATGAGAGTGTAGACTTTCTAACGAAGATTACGGCTTTATTTAAAGTATATCAGATTCATCTACCACTCCGTTTTAGCTCTACTCGCTGGCCAAGTAATCGTAGACCGGATTTTCACGCGACACGCATCTTTCGTCGAATTCTGGATTATAATGGATAATTGGCATACATGAGAGTGTAGACTTTCTAAGGAAGATTACGGCTTTATTTAAAGTATATCAGATTCATCTACCACTCCGTTTTAGCTCTACTCGCTGGCCAAGTAATCGTAGACCGGATTTTCACGACCCTTGCAACTATAGTGTGGATTTGGGTTGTAATGGATAATTGGCATACATGAGAGTGTAGACTTTCTAAGGAATATTACGGCTTTATTTAAAATATATCAGATTCATCTACCACTCCGTTTTAGCTCTACTCGGTGGCCAAGTAATCGTAGACCGGATTTTCACGCGACACGCATCTTTCGTCGAATTCTGGGTTATAATGGATAATTGGCATACATGAGAGTGTAGACTTTCTAAGGAAGATTACGGATTTATATAAAGTATATCAGATTCATCTACCACTCCGGTTTAGCTCTACTCGCTGGCCAAGTAATCGTAGACCGGATTTTCACGCGACACGCATCTTTCATCGAATTCTGGGTTATAATGGATCATTGGCATACATGAGAGTGTAGACCTTCTAAGGAAGATTACGGCTTTATTTAAAGTATATGAGAGTAATCTACCTGACCGTTTTAACTCAACTCCTCGGCCAAGTAAACGTAGACCGGATTTTCACGCCACACGCATCTTTCGTCGAATTCTGGGTTATAACGGATAATTGGCATACATGAGAGTGTAGAGTTTCTAAGGAATATTACGGCTTTATTTAAAATATATGAGATTCATCTACCACTACGTTTTAGCTCGACTCGCTTGCCAAGTAATCGTAGACCGGATTTTCACGCGACACGCATCTTTCGTCGAATTCTGGGTTATAATGGATAATTGGCATACATGAGAGTGTAGACTTTCTAAGGAAGATTACGGATTTATATAAAGTATATCAGATTCATCTACCACTCCGGTTTAGCTCTACTCGCTGGCCAAGTAATCGTAGACCGGATTTTCACGCGACACGCATCTTTCGTCGAATTCTGGGTTATAATGGATAATTGGCATACATGAGAGTGTAGACTTTCTAAGGAAGATTACGGATTTATATAAAGTATATCAGATTCATCTACCACTCCGGTTTAGCTCTACTCGCTGGCCAAGTAATCGTAGACCGGATTTTCACGACCCTTGCAACTATGGTGTGGATTTGGGTTATAATGGATAATTGGCATACATGAGAGTGTAGACTTTCTAAGGAATATTACGGCTTTATTTAAAATATATCAGATTCATCTACCACTCCGTTTTAGCTCTACTCGCTGGCCAAGTAATCGTAGACCGGATTTTCACGACCCTTGCAACTATGGTGTGGATTTGGATTATAATGGATCATTGGCATACATGAGAGTGTAGACCTTCTAAGGAAGATTACGGCTTTATTTAAAATATAAGAGATTAATCTACCTGACCGTTTTAACTCAACTCCTCGGCCAAGTAAACGTAGACCGGATTTTCACGCCACACGCATCTTTCGTCGAATTCTTGGTTATAATTGATAATTGGCATACATGAGCGGGTAGACTTTCTAAGGAAGATTACGGCTTTATTTAAAGTATATCAGATTCATCTACCACTCCGTTTTAGCTCTACTCGCTGGCCAAATAATCGTAGACCGGATTTTCACGACCCTTGCAACTATGGTGTGGATTTGGGTTATAATGGATCATTGGCATACATGAGAGTGTAGACCTTCTAAGGAAGATTACGGCTTTATTTAAAATATATGAGATCAAACTACCTGATCGTTTTAACTCAACTCCTTGGCCAAGTAATCGTAGACCGGATTTTCACGCGACACGCATCTTTCGTCGAATTCTGGGTTATAATGGATAATTGGCATACATGAGAGTGTAGACCTTCTAATGAAGATTACGGCTTTATTTAAAATATATGAGATCAATCTACCTGATCGTTTTAACTCAACTCCTCGGCCAAGTAAACGTAGACCGGATTTTCACGCCACACGCATCTTTCGTCGAATTCTGGGTTATAATGGATAATTGGCATACATGAGAGTGTAGACTTTCTAAGGAAGATTACGGATTTATATAAAGTATATCAGATTCATCTACCACTCCGGTTTAGCTCTACTCGCTGGCCAAGTAATCGTAGACCGGATTTTCACGCGACACGCATCTTTCGTCGAATTCTGGGTTATAATGGATAATTGGCATACATGAGAGTGTAGACTTTCTAAGGAAGATTACGGATTTATATAAAGTATATCAGATTCATCTACCACTCCGGTTTAGCTCTACTCGCTGGCCAAGTAATCGTAGACCGGATTTTCACGACCCTTGCAACTATGGTGTGGATTTGGGTTATAATGGATAATTGGCATACATGAGAGTGTAGACTTTCTAAGGAATATTACGGCTTTATTTAAAATATATCAGATTCATCTACCACTCCGTTTTAGCTCTACTCGCTGGCCAAGTAATCGTAGACCGGATTTTCACGACCCTTGCAACTATGGTGTGGATTTGGATTATAATGGATCATTGGCATACATGAGAGTGTAGACCTTCTAAGGAAGATTACGGCTTTATTTAAAATATAAGAGATTAATCTACCTGACCGTTTTAACTCAACTCCTCGGCCAAGTAAACGTAGACCGGATTTTCACGCCACACGCATCTTTCGTCGAATTCTTGGTTATAATTGATAATTGGCATACATGAGCGGGTAGACTTTCTAAGGAAGATTACGGCTTTATTTAAAGTATATCAGATTCATCTACCACTCCGTTTTAGCTCTACTCGCTGGCCAAATAATCGTAGACCGGATTTTCACGACCCTTGCAACTATGGTGTGGATTTGGGTTATAATGGATCATTGGCATACATGAGAGTGTAGACCTTCTAAGGAAGATTACGGCTTTATTTAAAATATATGAGATCAAACTACCTGATCGTTTTAACTCAACTCCTTGGCCAAGTAATCGTAGACCGGATTTTCACGCGACACGCATCTTTCGTCGAATTCTGGGTTATAATGGATAATTGGCATACATGAGAGTGTAGACCTTCTAATGAAGATTACGGCTTTATTTAAAATATATGAGATCAATCTACCTGATCGTTTTAACTCAACTCCTCGGCCAAGTAAACGTAGACCGGATTTTCACGCCACACGCATCTTTCGTCGAATTCTGGGTTATAATGGATAATTGGCATACATGAGAGTGTAGACCATCTAATGAAGATTACGGCTTTATTTAAAATATATGAGATCAATCTACCTGATCGTTTTAACTCAACTCCTCGGCCAAGTAAACGTAGACCGGATTTTCACGCCACACGCATCTTTCGTCGAATTCTGGGTTATAATGGATAATTGTCATACATGAGATTGTAGACTTTCTAAGAAATATTACGGCTTTATTTAAAATATATCAGATTCATCTACCACT